GATCACCAAGCTGTCAGCGGTTGTTCCTAGACTCCTAATGGAAAAAATCCTGGGGGCTCTGTTCTCCCCAGTCAATACTCGCCCCTTAGTATTGACTGATTTTAGTTTTCCTGGTGCCTACGTTCTCTGGATGCTGAACGGGATCGCATGAACGCGGCAATCCCGTTTAATGTGGCCATTCCTGCCACATCTAAAGCACCTTATGTCCTGGAATCTTCTCTGGTTCTCTGTCTGGGTGTTGTTGACTCCCTTGTTTATTAGTAGCTCACATAGTTTGTCGACTTTCTTACACATCTCCTCCAAACCTCTGTGAGTGCTTTCGGGCTGTTCCTCGACCGTTACCGATCTTATCTTCGGCCTAGGGATGGCGCTAAAGGCAGCTTCGATTTCCAGCGCCCTGACCAGTGCTTCGCTGCTGGTGGAAAATCGGGATATTTGCAGCGCCCTCTGTAATTCGTTGTCCCTCAGTCCGCTGATAAAGCACTGAGCAGCGAGTTCCTCCCTAAATCCTTCCGGTGCTTCTGGATATGCCAGGTGTACCAGCCGACGTAAGTCTGCTTCAAATTCCTGCAGACTCTCTCCGGACCTCTGCAGGCGTGTCTTGATCTGTGCCTGGTAAAGTTGGCGTCGATGTTGGTCGCCATATCTTCTGTCCAGTGCAGCGACCAAAGTTTGATATTCCTGCTGTTGGGCTGCAGGAATAGTTTGCAGGAGTTCCAGGGCAGGGCCACGCAGCGCGATGACAAGTGCCGCTGCTTTCTCCTGGTCAGTCCATCCATTGGCAGCAGCCGCTGCTTCAAACTGGCGGTGGTACATCGTCCAGGTGGTTTGTCCATCGTAGGTCGGGGCCTTGAGGTTCGCAGTTCCATGAACGCCAGGTGTCCTTACTTGTACCTTGGCCTTCTGTAGGTCCATCTCTAATTTTTCCATTTTCTGCTGAAGGCGCTCCTCCAGATCTTCTACGACTTCTTGGAAGTGGGTCTCTTGTCTTCGTTCCGAATTTTCGATACTCTGTTGAATACGGTCCTGCTCTTCTTGTTTGTCTTGTTCTCGCTGAATTTTTAAATCTTCTAAAATTTTCTCAAGCTGGTCCTGTTCTTCTTGTTTGTCTTGTTGTCGTTGAATTTTCCAATCTTCGAAAATTTTCTCAAGCCGGTCCTGTTCTTCTTGTTTTACTCTACGATGTCGCTCCTCGAAACGAATTTCCAAATTACCCAACATTTTCTCAAGCCGGTCCCGTTCTTCTTGACGTCGTAATTTTTCCTCTTCCTTATCTTTACGTAGTCTTTCTTGTTCTTCAGCTTTCTCTCTTCTCATATTCTCCATAAAATCGCCCAATAGTTTGCTTACTTCCTCCATTTTCCTCGCTTGCTGTCTCGTACCAACCATAAAAATTCCCAAATTCGGTGTAAAATCGTCCAATCCACTTAATTTCTTCTTAAAATCCTCTTGAATCGCACTTCCGACACCAATTGTTACGGATTCCGTGGGTCCACTAATTTAAACTCACGATAAAATACTTAACGAATTTATTTTCTCACTTTATACACAATTACTAACTTATAACACACAACAAACTAACTATTTATAAGATTCCTTCACCAAATTGTCCGATTTTCAATTTCCACGCGGTATATTCAAATTTCAAAAACTGTCTCAGTTGTCGATGGCTCCGGCTTATATACTCTATTGACTGCTTCTCGAAATTTCCCCAATTCTCGGAAAGCGTACTTCTTCATACCAGACAATTCCATTGTCTGATTCCCTTACTTCTCGATTTGACTAAAAGATGGCGCCTGAAAAAGTCTTTTAATTTCTAGCGGATACGTTGCGGTTGTGCAGGCAACCAGTAATACATTTTTAATTTCTGGCGGATGCGCCATTTTTCTTGACAATATGTTTCTTTTATTGAGATCTACGAACTACCAACCCTGAAAATATTTGCACTTATTTAATATTCACCCTTTAGTTAAATAAAACGTTTTTAACTTTTAAAGAAAGAAAAAAATATATATAAAATTACGAAAACGTTGTAAAAATATATGTTGCAAAGAACTTTTACTTTTTTTATTAATTTATTTTGTTGTCCCCATTGTAATGTTTATTGCAGTTTAAGATGCTAATAATCAAAAACCATTATGTGCAGCGAAAGGTGCGTTCAAAGTAATAAAGAAAAGTTTATGGGTAGTATAGCTAAAGAATGCGTAATTTTAATTTTAATATATACTGTTTTTGTGTACTAGAAACTTCATTCTTTAGTCATCTTCTTCTTACAGTGCCGTACCCTATACAGAGCGTCAGCTACCTCTCGCATCTACTTGTGATGTATGTCATCAGCGTTTCACAAGTACACGGGGCCTACAGTTTATTGCCAAATCCGAATAGCATATTTGAGAGGCTGTACAAGGCAAATATACTCAAGGTGGTTTGCCATTGCCTTCCTTGAGATGGCGGCTCGCTGGTCGCTCTATTTAGATAAATAAATATTTTTATTTACAACCACATAATATGTAATACTGACATTACTGACTTTTAAAAAAAAAAGTGTCAAATTATCTACATTCCCTACTCTTCCATTTCCCTTACCCATTTTTCTCATGCATTTCCCTCACCCATTTCCCTCACTCGGGTTTTCTTATTTCTCGCCTCATTTAATTAAGCAAAATATTCTTGTAATATCTTTATTAAATACTTATCTAACATCAACAAAAATAAACAAGAAGATTAACAATAATAATTGAAGATTTTAATGCATTTATTTGTTGAAGGTAAAAATGCTAGACTTCGTTCGCTTAAACCTACATTATGGCGTTTTAAAAAAGCGACGAATTTGTGGTATTTTGATATGTCAGTCTTTTCCCTTAATTCTAGCATGCTCTTGGTAGCCCAAAGAGTAGATGGCTTTTTCTGCCTTGCCATGTCGCTAAAATATGCCATCAAGACTGTCTCCGAAGCAATATTCTTAGCATTTCTTTCGGCACACCATTTTTCGTATACGTTCAATGCTATTTCATATCGCCCCCTACTTTTCTCTGGAAGTAAACTGGCTTCTGCTCTTTTTGTAGCTTTTGTAAGTTCTGGTGGAGTACCAATATTAAAGTAGTCTTCATTATTAGAACTTTCCGAAAACATTCTGGCTTTCTGTTATATAAATTCGAAAAAGCGAACGAGAAATTCAAAACTGTCACTTAGTTCTTTGTTTTGCTGTTGAAGGTTTGCGCCATAACAACCACTGGTACCGGTAACTATAGATATGGAAATGCCAAAACAGAAAACGACAAATTTTCGCATATTTATTTATTTTTTTCAAAATAAAATACTGTCCCTAATTTTTAATGATGTGGTTGTATAAATATAATAGTATACAAACCTCGGAGAAAAGTTTTCATTATTGTCTCGAGATTTAGTTAATCTCGATGCTACGCGTCTCGATTAATAATATCAATCTCTCGACAGTAATGACACACTTCCCTCCTCAGTATGTAATATACTATTATTTTAAATAAATAAAGTGACCGTACTGGCTGAGGATCGAACCCAGCACCTCTCGCACCACAGATCGACACACTACTGCTGGAGCTACGGCCAGCCAGTCATCACGAAATAGAAAATTCTTAATTCCTACATTAATAGCCTGGATCATTATTTATGGATCAGCCAAAGAGTAGAAAATATAAAGAGAAAACAGATAAAATAAGTAAATTAGATCAAGACAGAAAAAGCACGTAGTTAAAGGGACTCGATTTAGTGTCATTTTAAAAAGATTACAGTATTGCAAAGTCTATTCTACTCGTATTAATCTGATGTTAATCCACCAAATATTTTATAAAACAAATTTGTATCAACTGCTTAATTGTTCAGTCTGTTTCTTGAAGTTAATGGCAAATTGTTCCCTAAGTCATTTATGAATAAAAATTAAATAAGTCATATATACCGGGTGCGTCTCAAAAGTGGCTCACCCCTATAACTTTTCTATTTTTTCAGACAAAAAAAACGAGATTTGACATAAATTAGAATTGATTGACGTATTCACTAATTTTAGGTCACTTCCTGTTTCATCGGAAGTGATGACTTTTGATTTTTAAATGGCACCCTTGGTATATTTCTACTTTATTCGATAGAAAGTGACACTCTGAATAGAATGACATATATCATATGTCAACTTTTGACAATTTCGCTTTAACAAAACAAAAATCGTATTTTAAATTTCAATCTAGAGTGCATTGGCTGTGTTAAAAATACTAATTTTTAATCAAAGAGTCTTGGAAAAATAGATTTGATCATCTAATATTTCGTGTCTTGTCTTTGCCCAAATCGTATTTTTAATCATATCTCATTTTTTTCAAATGGAACAAGGGTAGCTCATTAGCATATTTAGAAAAGGCATTTTTTACGAATAATTTTGTACCATACACTTGGTACTTCGAGTCAAATTGTCGTTATGAACCGCATGTTACAATTTCAAATAAACCATATGCGTAAATGTCAAAAGTTGACATTATCATATGTCATTCTATTCAGAGCGTCATTTTCTATCGAATAAAGGAAAAAAATACGAGAGTACCATTTAAAAATCAAAAGTTGTAGTCATTTACGGTGAAACAGGAAGTGATAAAATTGAATACGTCAATCAATTCTAATTTATGTCATATACTCACATATATTTGAATAGAATAATTGACTAGAAGAACACAAAAACGAGATTTGGTAAATCTCTTTTTTTTATTTGATTTCTTATTTTTTCTTTTATCTATCGTTATTTTACTCTTCAGCATACCAGCCTTGATAAATACATATTTTTGATTATCCTAAATGTAGTAACGAGAATGATGAATTAAAGTAGATAAAATAGTTAGCGTTACAACAATAAAATGCTAAGGAAATGTAGAATTGTATTACTAGAGAGTAATATAATAGATTGACCCATAAAGAATTTTTTTGGAGAGATGAATCCGCCCCATAGATATAGACATTTTTTATAATAGATTGAGTCAGCTTACCTTCTCAAGAAACAAAGCCCTGCTTGCTGCTGGCAATTCAGATGTGCCCTCCGCTTCCACCTGCAAAATTATCCATATTTTAATTAGTCACCACATACTTATAATTACATAATTATACACTCAGATGCAAAAAAGTAACGAAAATATATTTCGTCAGAGTTAAAGTGTTATCTATGTTTTATTTTCAACTCTATTTTCATGATTTTATTAGAAACCTGTATACCGATCTGGTAAGCGAATCTGCGTTGTCTGGATTTTACCGGGTAAGACAGATTAAATGAAAAATTAAAGGTATTAAAATAACGATAAAAGTTAGGTTGATACATTTCTTCCATGCAGCATTCCGGATTTTGCATCAAAATTTCAAACCGCACAAGTAGGTGTTGAAAAGAGTAGCACAATTAGAAGTGAAAATGTTGCATCTAGGGTTGGAACTTTATTTTTCCCAATTAATTACACATTTTACTGCAGCTGTAGTAGCCCAGTCAAATTAGAGAAATCGGTGGAAAAAATTCCACAGTTCTAAAAATGGTTTTACATGATTTCTCTGGACTTGGGCTGATATGTGTCAAAAATCCCCGAAGATAGACGATGAGCTCGAGAAGTGGGGATGAGTTAAATGTCAATTTTTTCACTCTCTTTTTAACTTATATCTCAGTAAATATGACACCTACGAAAATATCCTATATAGAAAACTGAAGCTCAGAAAATTATCTACAAAATTGATTGAATCAAAGTTGAATGCATCTCTTCATAGGTCTAACCTTTTAAGAGTTACAGGGTTGACAAAATTAACATTATTTCTCATAATGTATTTTCGCATTTAAAATCCAATTAAAGTCTAAATTTAATTTTTCATATTAATAATGGTAATATTAAGGGGTCCTTATGTTATCTTTCAAGTCTTCATTGCATCGTGACTTTTTGTCTTCCGTTGAAGAGCACTATAGTGCACACAGGACTTAACAATACTGCAAGTTAAAGATTAATGCATGCCTGCTTTACGGTAAAAAAAAGTATAACACACAGAATATACTAACGAAATAGAAGCCCAAGTCCCTTGTAATAAATTGTTCCATTGTAACGCCATCTCTCGACAAAGCTGACATTTACAGGTTAGCCAAAGGGGTGCGGGACCGGGGGGAATTGTAAAATACACTTTTTTATTTTAATTATTTTTATTCGCTATTTGCAATTTTATTTTTAAAACATATTATGTGAAACAATCACATAATATGTCTTAAAAATAAAATTATAAACGGAAACAAAAGGAATTAAATAATCTGAAAATCTACAAAGTTTATTGATAAAAAAGTTAGGCTATGCAAATTGATATATTAAGTATAACCTCTTTGGTATAACATTGTTAAACAAACATTAACAAATCATCACATATCAGATCATAGAACTAAAAAAAGTACTATTACATAAAAGCAGGTGATACAATACTTCAAAATTAATTTTAACATAATATCAAAACCGAAAAATGAAGTTGCAAACACAACCACACTTATCACAACAGAAATTAACACACACTTCCGCGGCAAATGTCCAAGAAAGACTGATCATTCTGATTGGTCCTGGTCCGGTGGTAGCTCACGTCGTATTGTCGGTAAGCAAAATCCCTGTCCAAAAATCTTGACGATCAGCGCCATCACCCGTCATAATTGGGAAACTTTTGCTGGAACCATTTTGAATATTTCACTTACATGGCCCTGAGTATAACACAGCATGTAGCGCAGCAGCAAATATTGTAGAAAGTATACGAAAACCAAGAATCATGGTTTATGGTCGATGATTGCTCAGAGTTGAGTATTTTTATCCCCGCCTGCAGTAGATTTTTCTAATGTAGCACGAAGCATTTGAGGTCTGGTTGCCTAAAGTTGTACATTGCGATGATATTCTACATAATTTCTTCCTATAGGTACAGTTAACGTAAGTGTAATATTTACGTATATGCACTACCCAATCAATTTCGCCAATATAGTATAGTCTTCCCTCGCAGAATTTCAAAGTCTTAAAAGCGCATATAAAAATGTGATTTCTGAATCTTTTCTCCCTAAAATAATTGAATACAATAATGATATTCACATATATAACATGAGTCCTCATAGTTTAAAATTATCTATATTATTCCTCATCATCCGTTTTAGACAAGTAATTTGTATTCAATACAAAACGTGATTTTAATTTACTATTTATAATAATGCATGTATCGCTTCACACATATTCAGTTCCTAATATTTGTTGAATACCTCTTTCTATATAAAATTTCTAGAATTGAGGTTAGTTTTGACCTTTTCTTAAAAGTAACAGGGTGATATTTAAAACTGTTGGCTTAGGATCATTACGGTTAGAAAATAAAGCCGGGACCCCATTATAGGCCCCAAGCCACGCTATCCCACGTGAGCCCACGTGGTGCGACGTGGGAAAGAGATTACACATGAGATCTGGGACAGACGACACACGTGGGATGGCGTGACGTGGGGTGGCGTGTTGCCTACTGTGTACGCAATGCATGTAATTAAATGGAAAAACATACGCACAGATCTTCATGGGGTGGCGTGTTGGCTAATGGGGTCCCGGCATAAGTGATATTCCATTATGTTTTAATGAATAATGTGAGTATTGATGAACGCAAACTTTAAATTTATTGGAAGAAAATTGTTATTCCAGCGAGCGATTTTGTTATCACCCAGTATACACAACAAGCATCCTTCATTGCATAACTTAATGCATATTAATGAACCTGGGCTCTTAATTAACTTTTTCCCATCAAATATTATAAGTAATTATAGTGTTATGTTTATACTTACAGAAATATTTTAAGACAAAAAGTAGATTGCTTGTTCGCGAATAATAATAATCCGTATTTAATTATTTTTTATTAGCTCGTTTATTATTATAAAGTAGATGCTAATATAAAGTTTCCAGTTTTTTTGAATAACTCTGTAACTGTGTTTTAAATAAAAACGCAAGCAGACTCGCTATTAATCGATGTATATCTTAGATTAATAATTTATTAATTCAACGCTACAATGTTAGCTAACAACATCTACAATATACAACTTAACAAGTATAGCTAGAGATGTGAGAAATATAAAATAACACGGCGACCAGTGCTATCCCCAAGTCTCTTCCTATATTTGTTCAACTGTACTTATTATTTTGGAATATTATACACAAGAATTGGTTTATATAATATGTATTGATATGTTACGTATATTTATGAACAGGAGAATACACTTTTAACAGGGTGCCAATAATAACTGATGTTGGAGCCGACATTACGTTCATAAAATGTTTTGATCATTTATATGCCAAACTAAAGATATTTTTATTATGTGAATTATGTTAGAAGGGTGCCTATGAAAAAGTTACCGCAAATAGGGGTTGCCACGGTTCAAAGTTATATTATATTATAAAGTAGCTACTATAAAAAACTTAGGAATTTTGTATATGATATTAATCGAATATATTAATAGAATATGAATTAATAGATCAGTTAACCGTCGCTGATTTTATCTAGTCTCGTTTTTTTTATGGGGATATATAAATAATAATTGTAGCTACTTTTCAAAGTAGAACTCCACATATACCTTTTAAAATGACAATATCTCTTGAAAATAGAATCATTTTATGCAGTTAACAGGAAAGGAAGCATTTTGAGCATTTGATTTCATCTAGCTAATTTTTGTCACATAATTTTGTAATAATTAAAATTTGTCTTAAACGTGTATTTCTTTATTACCGTTGGATATTTTACTATACATCCTTTAATTTTTGATAAATTAACAAAAGGTATATCACAGCCACCTAGATGTTTTCAATTTATAAAGATCTACTGACGCTTTTCAAATTATAAAGATCTACTGACGCAAAATCATAAAAATTAAAATATCTAGGACAATCTTTGTATGACGGATAAGCAACCTTAATAATATTTTGAAGATATATGAATTCCCCATTGAACCACCGGGATAATATACTGGCTGTTCCATTTAAAATAAAGGAGTAACTAGCTTTTAAAAGTGTCCAATGTTCAATATTAATTTTGTCTCACCCTGTATAATTTACCGGTCAAATTTTATTTGGTTTAACACACAATGGTTGTTGTAATTAAATATCAGGCTATACAAGGTAAATTAAGATCTAGATAGCTGTTATTGAAATTTAAAATTTACTGTTCATTTTCACAAAATGTGAAATATGTGGAAATCCTTACAGTTTAGGCATATGCTTCTTTAATAAAACTTACCTTTATTTTTTCCCTAGAAATGCTTTTCCGAATATACTAATTAGCCACCCTCGTTCCATTTGAAAAAATTGAGATATGATTAAAAATACGATTTGAGCATTTTCTAATTGGTCAGGACAAGACACTAAAAACATTAGACAATCAAATCTATTTTTCCAAGGCTCCTTGATTAAAAATTAGTGTTTTTAACATAGCGATGTCACTTTAGATTAAATTTTAAAATACGATTTTTTATTAAGCGAGAATGTCAAAAGTTGACATATGATATGTCATTCTATTCAGAATGTCATTTTCTACCGAATAAAGTAAAAAAATGCCGAGGGTGCCATTTAAAAATCAAAAGTTGTAGTCATTTCCGGTGAAACACAAAAACAATTGTGTACGTCAATCAATCCTAATTTATGTCTTATACTAACATAACAAATCTCGTTTTTTTTATCTGATAAAATAAAAAAAATATAAGGATAAACCACTTTTGAGACGCACACGGTATAGGGTGTTTGATTGCATAAAAAACACAACTTTGATGTGTAACATTTTTGGGGACACCCTGTATAACTGTATATATCTTCATAGAATGGTTTCAATTAACCTACATATGCTCAAAAATTTCAATCGATATAAACTACCGTTCTTCTTGGAGCCTCCGCGTCGTATGAGAGGCGCCACCCTGTATGTAATTAAAACGCGAATATTTGTGAAACTTTTAAAAAATTTTAAAGCTGTTTATTGTATTTATCTATTAATGGCATAAATTGAAATCTCAACAATACCTTTGTTCGTTCTTCGTACAAACACAAAC